ACAAAAGATCTCCCGTTAAGTCCACTGCCCCTCACAAAACAGACAAGTGGCTTAAAGAGATGCCTGCAAAGAAACCGTGGGTGGAAGATAACCCTGATAACTCCAGTAGAAGTGCCCAACATGGAAGCAGCAGTGCTGACCCTTCTCCTGCTCCTCCTACGAGCTCTTCGCCAGCTACATGAAGAGGCAAACCCAAGGATGATCGAATCAGATCTGGCAAGAAATCGCCCCCCAAAATCCAAAATGATCACAAAATCTATTTGAAATATGGATTCACATCCACTATCATGGATGATGAACCTCGCCCTAAGCACACCTTGTGCCTTGGAGCTAAGGACTGCATGAAGTCACAACCACGAACAGATGTTCAAACCTGAAGCGTGCAGAACACGCAAACAAACCTCCACCGTTTTTTCAGCAATGCTTCAAGTCACACAGCACTCAGTCCAGGACTTTACGAAATGTCACTAAACTTAACGATAGCAGCCTCTTTCCAGGTTTCTTACTCAAAAGCAAAAACCAAAAAGCCACGTACCCTTGGGGAAACCCTTGTCCTTCCATGTGGCTGGTGTCTTCCCATGGCTCTTCCTCAAGGCAGGAGAAATGACCATGAATTTGGAAGTCCACATAAATTCAGAAGTACACTTAGTCCTCTGGCAGTCATTCCCTATGGGCCAGACGTCCTCTCACCCCTACCCAGAAGTGCCCATTAGTTGTCTGGCAGACGTTCTCCATGAACCACGAGTCTACCTACCTACCTACCAACTCACCAGAAATGAGTCGGTCCGCACCAGAAGTGACACTGCCCAACCCGCTGTAGACATATTAGACCAGAAATGATGGTTTCAAGACAGAAAACACAACACAATCCACCAGCACAGCAAAAAATCAACCAGAAGAAACATCGTACACAAACCAAAGGTCCCTATCCAGACCCTAAAAAGGCAAACAAGCTAAAAAAGGACTCTCCACAAAAAAAGACCACACAGACCACAAGATAAGGTAAAAGTAACCTAACCCCAGGAACCCAGGGCCAACAAACCCGGATTCTGTCCATAACAATAACACACTTAATCCTAACTCGCTTAAACTCTGGCATATCACCACACTGCCAGCCCATAACCCTAGCAAACTGTAACACTAGCATCCCATAACCCTAGCACATTGTAGCCAGAAGATATCAAAAAATTGAACACAAACTCCCTGGAAATCTCTGCCAGGGCCTTCAGGTGGCCCCAGATTTCAGACATCACAACTTTGAAGTGGAAGTGGGACAGAGCCACTGGGATGTCACCAGCATCCATCTTCACATCATCTGTCACACCCTGAAAAACTGCCTGGGTTAAACACTCCTGGGGAGAAAGGCTGAGGCACTCGGAGACTTTGAACCAGCAAGCCATGACCATGGGGCTTCAGCTCATCATTTCTGTGTCAGAGCCACCAGGCAGATGACCCCATCCTCCTTGAGACACCCCTTGGGGCAACTGTACCCAGCGCTGGGTGGCTGGATATGGTCTTTGCTCTACTGGGAGGCACTTCCTGGGAGCAGGATCTCTCACAGGGGCACAGGGAAACGCTTGACAGGCCTGGATGTCTGAGGAACATCCTGCACTGCTCCGTATCTCACCAAAACCAGGGGCGGAGGAAGGCTACTTTGCTGGCCTCCAAGAGCTCACCTGGGCTGCCCTGCGGCCACCGGGCACCTTTGCTGTCAGGCAGCACCGCTCTGCAATCAGCTGTCACCTCCCTGCAGGACGCTCTCCAGCGCACGGTGTCTCCACTTGCTCATCCTGTGGACAAAGATCAAAAGGGAGGGATAGGGTTTGCTTTGCCCCCATTCCCAGGGTGCCACAAGAGAGACCTTGCTGCCACCCCCAAATCAACTGTGTGACATGGACACCACGTACGAGCTGCAGACATGGGTCAGGACAGCTGTGGGGAGTGGGCAAGCCATTCTGCGGTGCCCCTGGTGCTGGCAGAAAGCAGAGCTGGAGACAATGGGGGAAAGCCCAGGGTAGTCGGCAGCTGGCAGTGGGGCCCAGCAGGGTGCAGCACCCACAGAAATGCCCAGCTCCTTGAGCCTCGGCACCGGGGCTGCAGCACCGGGCTGGCACCGGCTGGGGCTTTGCTGGGAAAAACCAGGCAGGGGTGACCCTGACACCCTGCACATGTACCCGGCCCTGGGTGGGATTTGACCACCTGTCCCTCTGCCCATCACCGCCACGGGATCCAGAAAGCAGTGCCGCTGGCCCTGGTGTGGTCCTGAGACATGTCTTGATGGATGAGCCTTTAACCAGCAGGCCTAAAAAGAGGAAAAATCCTGGAGGCCATTGCTGTTCTGTCCTTCTCCGCCTCATTGTCCTGATCCACATCCCTCTGTTTCTCAGGCTCCCTGGAGTGTTTCCTGTCCTTCTCTTGCTCTGTGTCCTGCTCTCTGTCCCTGCCTCTCCCTTTTTCTCTCCCCTTCCTTTTCCCTCTCACCCTTTCCCCTCTGTCCCTCTGTCCTGCTCCCTGTCCCATTTCTCTGTCACTCTGCTCTCCTGGTGCCTTTTCCCGCTCTCTGCCCCCCTGTCCCGCTCCCTCGCCCTGCCTGTGTCAGTCCGTCCCTTTGTCCTCCTTCCTGCCCTTCTTCTCTGTCCTGATGGTTATCACTATTTTTCATCTTGCACCTCCCTGTCCCCTTCCCCTCCATCTCTTTCCCAGCTCTACCCCTCTGTGCTGCTCCTCACCAGTGTTTTTTCTTCCTCCGCTACCCACCCAGCTCCCCCCCATTCTCCTCGTCCCTCTGTCCATCTCCCGTTCTTCTCTTGCCACCCCACCACCCTGCCCCACCTCCCTCTGTAGTTCTGTCCCTCTCTCCTCCTCTCCCCTGCTCCACCTGGGCTCCAGGGTCTGGGCCTGGGTCGGGGCAACCCCGCGGAGGCGGCCATGGGGCCTGTGGGGGGCGGGGCCAGGCCCAGGGGGCGGGATGTAGGGTCAGACAGCAGGAAGGGGCGCCCCATGGCATGCTGGGAGCTGTAGTCCTGGGGCACGGGGCTGCCAGGCAGCCATGTTGGTGTTGGGAGGCGCGGTCTCTGCTCCAGCTGAGGTGAGGGCCGGGGCCTCTCAGACTGCATCTGGCTCTGGTTTGCATGGGCTGTCTCTGGCCTTGCTCTCCTGGCGCTGTGGGCGAAAAGGGACATGTGGACACTCACTGGTTTTGGAGAGGAGCTGCCACAGCTGAAGCTGAAGAGACCACAAAAAGGTAAAGCAGCTGGGGAATGAAATGAAGGGGATCCTGCCAGCTGCTGCCTCCAGCTGCAGACAAGAGACAGCCGGCCTCTCTAGGTGAGGAAGAGTCCCTCTGAGTAGTCCTCAGCAGACCAGATCACCAATGTGCACCATGGGGTCTGTATAAGTAAGGAAAATTACAGTATGGCCATGTAGTTTGTGTGTGTGCGTGTGTGCATGGCTGTGTATCTAGGAAGCCTCATGTTGTAAGAGCTGTAAGACACCAATATGTTCTCTTAGGTGGAGGACAGGCAAGTGACTGGAGCTATAGAAGAGGAAGGGAGGAAAAGACAGACAGACAAAGAAGTACCTGAACTCTAAAGTTTGCCTGGCAGGGCAGAGAGCAGGAACTCCGGTGAGTCCTAGGCCTTTGGGGTTATGTCACCCCTCTTCTGCGTCCCAGTCCCTTCCTTTCCCCTCCCATTTCCCTCTGTGTAATTTTTTTCGCTTCCCTGAACCTCTCTTCCTCTCTATTATTGTGCTCTGCTCCCTGTCCCCCCTTTCTCTTTTCTCCAAGTCTCTCTTTCTCTGTCATCCTACTGCTCCCTTTACTTTCCTCACTGTCCCTCTCTCCTGCTCCCAGTGCCTCTTTTCCCCTGTCTCTCTCTGTCCTGCAGGCCACTGCGGTTTTTTCCTTCTCCATCTCTTTGTCCTGATCTGCATCCCTCTCTTTTTTCCCTGTCTTTTTTCTCTGGCCTGTTCCCTGTCTTTTGTCTCTTTCTGCCTGTATGTCCTGCTCCCTGTCCTCGTCCTCCCCTCTCCCTCCTTCCTTCTGCTTCTCTTTCTTTCTCTCTCTCTATTGCTGTGTCCTGTTCACTATCGTTGTGTTTTTTCATTCTGTATCCCACTGTCCCTGTCCTCCTTCCTGTTCACCTCCCCTCTCTCTGTCCCTCTCTGCTGCTCCCTGACTGTTCCCCCCACCCTCCTCCATCTCTCTGCAGGGCTCCTGATACCCCTCTCTCTTTCTCCATCCCTCTGTGCTGCTCTCTGTCCCTGGTTTTCTCTTTCTCGTTGTTATTCTTGTCTGCCGCTCTGTCCTGCTCACTGCCCCATCATTTCTCACTATATCCCTCTGTCCTGCTCCCTGCCCCTGCTCCCTGCCCCTATCCCTGCCCCTGTTCTTTTTTACTCCCTCTCCGTCTTGCTGCCTACCCCAGGCTTTTTTTGCAATTTCTATCTTGCCCTCAGCCCTTACTTTTCTTTCCCTCTCCTGCTCCCTCCCCCTCTTTCTGCCTCTCTTCCTCTTTCCCTGCTGCTTCTTGCGCCATCTCTGTCTAGATCCCTGTCCCTTTTTTCCTCTTGCTGTCCTTCTGCCCTTTTTCTCTTTTCTGTCTTTCTCTCTCTGTCCCGTTCCCTGTCCCATCCTTTCTCACTATATCCCCCTGTCCAGCTGGCTGCCCCTTCTTTCCTCTCTCTCTTGCTCTATTTTTTCTTTCTCCATCTCTCTATCCCACTGCCTATCACAGTTGGGTTTCTCCTCCAATGCTGTCCTGCCCGCTGTTCCTTTTCTCTCTCTCTCTCACTCTGTCCTGCTCCCTGTGTCTTTTTTTTTAATTCCTCCATCTCAGTCCTGCAGCCTGTCACTATTTTTTTCTTCTTCCATCCCTTTGTCCTGCTCCCTGGGGAAACCCTCATCAACCCACCTCGGGGCCATGGCTCTAGTAGCCATGCTGAACTGCCCACTGATGTGGTCCTTTTCTGTGTTCGTTTATGGCGTTCCCAGGAAGTTCAGGAAGTGAACCAGGCAGCGTCCGAGATGGCTTCGGAAGTCTACATCGGGACGTGTGACTGGGCCCTGAAAAGCTCTGGTATGGACACAAGCAGCCCAGTCTCTTTGGCCTGCGCTTGCCTGTAGCACTCCCCAAAGGAGCCTGTGCTCCAGGTGCTGCTCTCCAAAGTGGGGGAGCTTAAATGCTTCATGGGGTCCAAGAGCAAGGCTCTGGCAGAGTGGCTCTCTCAGACTCCTTCCCAGTCCTGCCCTCGGCCTCCGCACGGGTGCCTCTGGCACTGCCCCCGCACGTGTTCCTATGCTGGATGGGGGGACTGTCTTCCTCTCCACTGCATTTGAAAAGGGAATGGCTGGGCCGTCCTTTGCTGCCTGTGCAGCAAGCCCTCAGCTTTTGTCTGCTGGCATTCACGTGGGCACCTGCTCTCTCCCAGAACCCTCAGACCTCCTTCCTCGTGGCACTGTGAGAGAAGCCGTTGCCAGGCACCTGGCTGCAGGTGCATTCCCCTGCACAGCTGGGCACCCCCACCAGCGTGGTGATGAGGACAGGACTGACAGACGTGGAGCTGGCCAGCCATGTCGGAAACAGTGTCTGAGCACCTAGGTCCTCCTAGTCTGTGGCCTCTTGCAGTCATCTGCTCTCCCTTCCTTACAGGTGCCAGCATCGACATGCAGAGAACTTCTGAGACCTACGACTACAAAGAGAATTGAGGCTGCAGGGTTTTATGGTTCTTTCGCACTGCCAACCCTCCTGATACTATTTTGCAGGTATTGTAGCAGAAATCATCAGTGCTGGTTTCCTTCCTTCCCGTGAAGTTGGGGACCGACCTCAGGGGCTCTCCCCTCAGTCCAGTGGTACTGCTCAAGCCCACAGTGTTGAATCAGGTTCCTGAAGCCAAAGCTCTGACACAGGGCTGGGTTTGCTAGAAATCAGTGGTTCCCCTCAGGAGGGGAACGGAGCTGAGCTGAGCTGAACTGCTGCATCTTGCCACAGTCCTCTGCCACAGCTGGGTGAAAGACTTTCTCCCTGGTGACCCCATTTCCACACTCATCCCTAACGGTGCCTTTTTGGGGGTGGGAGGCGGGAGGTGGGAGTGCCCTGCAGAGCCACTGGGCAGAGATGTGTTTCTGCTAGGCCTTGACTAGGATGGTTTCATAACCGGTATTCTCTGCTCCGTAATACTGAGAGCCCCCTTTCCTTCTGTCCATTTCCTCACACGCGCCGCACTTCTGAGCTGAAATAGATCAGGCAGGGAAGAAGGCCTCCTGCTTCTGTCCATTTCCTCACACGCGCCTCATTTTCGAGGCACCACAGACACACCGGCGCCTACGCTTCAAGCTGCATGGGCAGTTGTGTTGGCCCCAACACTCCCTCACACTTCATTGCTCTCGCGTTCTGGTTGCAGCCGGATGTTTCCCCAGGAAACTGCTGGCCTTTACAAGGGCATCAGGGCCAGGTGGTCATCAGGTTGCCAGCACAAGTCCATCTCACTGCCGTCACTGTGCAGCACATTGCCAAAGAAGTCTCTCCATCTGGGACCGTCATCAGTGCCCCCAGAGATGTTGCTGTCTTTGTAAGTGTCTGCTGGGCGCTTCTGGTGGGGATCTGGCCCTGGCGGAAAGCCATGACAGGGTCTTGCTTGCTTTTGTGCATCCTCTGAGGTTTGTGCCCTGCTCTCTCCTGAGCGCTGCGGTGCCCTTGCGGGATACTTCAAGGGCTCTAGGGGTTTCATCCCTCTTAAGACTTGTTCTGGCCAAGCACCTCAGGGTTCTTGGCCAGAACTCGAGGGGGAAACTGAGCTCTACCATAACCAGTGCTAGATTGCTGCTAGAGCCCCAGGAGAGGGTGGGTAGATAACAGGGCTGATCCAGCGTGTACATTCCCTATTTGTCGGGACGAGTCTGAGCTGCTCTCCTCGTGCTTTGCCCCTGAGGGAATGGATGCGGACGGAGAAGAGAAAACTCTCCTTGGGACGTTTGTGTACAATGTGGCAAAAGAGGCCATTCAGACCTTCCCTCTGAAGGTACGGTCCACACACAGGGGCAAGATGCCAGGGAGCAAAACAGGTTTGCCTGCAAGTCCATGGCAGGAAGAGTGTGAATGCTTTCTTCCTGGGCAGAGGAGCCCGGACCACTGCCGAGAGAGACCTGGCGGGGTTGGGAGGCCTGAGTAGCACGCGGTGGTGGTAGCAAAAGGATAGTGAGGGCAGGGTCAGGCCTGTGGGAGCACGAGTCCTGAGAGATCCCTGGCTGCACCCACTGCCTTTAGCAGAGCCAGCTGCACATGTGGCCACTCCAGCCAAGCAATGTCTTTGTGCCGTGGAGAAACGGGGACGCCTGGTGGCGAAAGCTGTTGGGCAGCACCGTTGCTCCATCCTGTGGCCTGCTGGCAGGTTGGCCAGTGTCCTCTCCTCCCAGCACTGCATGCCCCTTCTCCCCAGTGCTTTCACGCCTGCCAGGAGAAAAGCAGGCAGAGCAGACAGCGGGAGCTTGGTGGGGGTGCACACCAGCTGCCCCACGCATAGGAGCACCTCCCCGGCCTCTCTGTCAGCACAGAGCAAGCAGCAGAGGGAAGGGGCAGAGGGAAGGGAGACTGAGCCCCAGCCGGGCCGGCATGCAGAGGATGCCAGGTGCCCTCCTCCTTCCCGTGTCCCCAGCCTCCCCAGCAGCCCCGGTACCAGCAGCGAGCCTCAGATTTCCACAGCCGCTCCCACCCACTTTCAGGAGCTTGTTCCTGAGCAGGAGCAGGACTGGCAGGGGCAGAAACATTGATTGCATTGTCGCTTTTAACACGCCCGTTTCCTTTTCACTTTTTCCTTCACAGAACGCGCCGCTTCCCAGAGCCTTTTCATATATCAAACTTCTTGTGAAGAGCAACTGGGGAAACCCAGCATACACCTGCATTTATTGAGTGCAGGTTCACAGGAAGATGGCAAACAAGAAAGCCTCAACTGAAATCAGAGGAAAAAAAGAAGGACAAACAGAATAAAGAAGAAAAAGAGGGGGGGAAAGGGGGAAAGATGTGGCAATTCAGATGGGTGTAGAAGATCTGTCTCCAAAGTGGGATGCGCAAAAAGGTCCATTGGTGGGGAGGGCGGGAGTGTGTGGAAAAGATTAGAACTTCTACTTAATTTTTTACAGAATTATAGGAAGGGACCTCTAAAGGTCATCTAGT